AGATCCAATAGCAGTGGAGCTGACGCCCCTTGCTCCTCTGTGATTGGTCACTTCTTCGGTATAAATTCTTACGGCGACCTTCTTCTTCCTCTTTCTTTCACGCGACCCTAACGCGCGGTAAGGGCCTTTTTTTTTCGCCGTGTCGCGAAACGGGAAAATACTGTTAATTATTGAAATTACACCGCATAGGATTTTGGGAATTAACAGATAAACATATATACTACTAAACATTTTATATTTTGGTTCCCTTAGAAGTACCGTGATGCGGTTTAGCCAAGCTGGGCCTGTTACAACAGTGCTAGCCTGTTTCTAGCCGGCTAGCGTTAGCTGTCGGCCACATGTTAGGGGGTGATTTGGATTTGCGATTATGTTGTTTGTTGGTCTATCTTTAAAGTATGTTTACCAACTGTCTTATTTTCTTTCCACAGATACTACCTTGTCTTTAAACCAGCTCCTAAGCGATCCTTGGAAGCACTGCCAAGATGCCCAGGGAAGACAGGGCCACGTGGAAGTCCAACTATTTTATGAAAATCATCGTAAGTATTAATGGAGTGTATGCGGCTGTGTTTACTCACGATGTTGGATAACTATAGTGTATACCCATTTAGGCTATTTGAACCATGTTTACTTGTGCTTAGTGTGCATGTGGACATATGTAACTACACAGGCTCAGTGTAATTATGATCAATCCTAAACTATGTAATGATTGTAAGGGCCATGTGTGAGCTGTTGAAGAGATTTTTAATACTATTTTGTAATGCCAAAAATTGGTGCATCTGCTTATTTTCTTTGCAAATGTTATACTGTAGACTCTCCTCTGTTGAAATTAGGCTGACATGCAGTGGTGTGTTTGCAGCAACTCCTGGATGACTATCCAAAATGCTTCATTGTGGGTGCAGACAATGTGGGCTCCAAGCAGATGCAGACCATCCGTCTGTCTCTGCGTGGCAAGGCTGTGGTGCTGATGGGCAAAAACACCATGATGCGCAAAGCCATCCGTGGCCACCTGGAGAACAATCCTTCCCTGGAGAAGTGAGTTCTGCAAATTGGTACAGTTGCAAATCATTTACCTATCTTTGTTCATTCTTGCCTCTGTTAGGTTTAGATTAGTGGTTTTGAATGCCTTTACTGCCACTCTATAGATCCATGTCTGCTAAGTCCCCTAACAAGTTAATGGGCTCTCCTTTTTTACTTGGCCTATTACCAAAATTGGCCCATGGCATTGACAAATTCATGCTGTTAATAAATGCTCATAAAAAATACATTTAATTAAACATTAGTTGTATTAATTGTGACAGACTGGTAGTTGCGTAGCAGGTTAGTTACAGTGCAGCTTGTGTGGTGCTGTATTGTCGTTCCCCCTGCTAACAGTAACATGTTTCCAGCTATCCCTGTCTGTCTACATCCCCCGACAACCAGGGACGCAAGGTTTCAGACAATTGAAAACTGCTCCTGTTTTGTAGAACTAATAACCTGCTTGCATATCTAACACAACCCTGTAACTTGACAGGCTCCTGCCCCACATTAAAGGAAATGTGGGCTTTGTCTTCACCAAGGAGGATCTGACTGAGGTCAGAGACATGCTGCTGGCCAACAAGGTGAGTTTTAAGAAGAAGTGCACACCACCTCATACTCTAAAATATCACATATTTGAGCTTAAACTGTAGACTTAAATGACTTTAATTAGGGTAAGACCTATTACAAGACCATTGACTGCAGGAGCTAAGTTTACCTTCAAATTCTGTGAAATACTCAAAAGTACAAATTTAAGTTGGTAGTTTGTGACAAACTAGTATACCAGAGTTCTCCACTATCTGCACTCAGTAGTCAGAGCTATTGGATGGTTTTAGTGTCATGTACAGCTATAAATGGCAACAAAGTAGAAAGAACCTAGATGATTAATTCAGTCACACCTTGTCAACATGCAGGATTAGTTACAATACAGCTTGTGTAGTACTGTATTGTCGTTCCCCCTGCAAACAGCAAACTGTTTCCTCGCTATCCCTGTCTGTCAGCATCTCTTGACTGCCAGGGACGTAAGGTTTCAGACATTCACTAACTGAAATCGAAATGATTATGTGTCAGCCATATTCAAGCATGCCCTTATAGAATTCCCCCCTAGAAATGTACTAAAGGTTGCACTCTGGAATACCACAGGTACCTGCAGCTGCCCGTGCTGGAGCCATCGCTCCTTGTGATGTGACAGTGCCAGCCCAGAATACTGGTCTGGGTCCCGAGAAGACCTCTTTCTTCCAGGCTCTGGGTATCACCACCAAAATCTCCAGAGGAACCATTGAAATCTTGGTGAGTTTAGCTGTCCTGATGTAGAAATGTGTGCATGAAGTACAGAAGCATTTGTTTCATATTAAATTAGTGATTACTCCATATGGGTACTTGAACTTTTCAAAATTTAGCTTTGTACAAAGCAGAATGTACGCCAAATTGTTGGCACTGGTAGCTAACTACCCTTTCTTTCTCCCCAGAGTGATGTCAGTCTGATCAAGCCTGGCGACAAGGTGGGTGCCAGCGAGGCCACACTGCTCAACATGTTGAACATCTCGCCCTTCTCCTTCGGACTTATCATCCAGCAAGTGTATGACAACGGCAGTGTTTACAGTCCTGAGGTGCTTGACATCACAGAGGCTTCTCTGCATACCAGGTTCTTGGAGGTGAGATTGTAATCTACAGAAACATTCCCACAACTAAATTCATTAAAATCACGACTCTTTGGGATTTTGGTTGCATCTGTAAATTGTTTGTTCATAATATGAATCTTGTGAATTTCCCCAGGGTGTGAGGAACATCGCTAGTGTGTGTCTGGAGATCGGCTACCCCACTTTGGCCTCTGTCCCCCACTCTGTCATCAATGGCTACAAGAGAGTCCTGGCTGTCGCTGTGGAGACGGACTACTCCTTCCCCCTGGCAGACAAAGTATGATTTCTTTGTGCAAATTATGCCACGGGCTATCCTCCAGGCTTGATTTTGATGTAGCTTGTGTAATGCTGCATTTTCATTCACCATACCAAGATGTTTCATTGTGTCTTGATTTTTTTGTCAGCCAGGCACACTTGGTTATAAACAGCCCTTGAAAGATTCCAAATGTTTCTGTAATACCTAAACTCAGACCAAGTTTTTGTATGCTCAGGTAGCTACTTTGTATAGATTTGAAAACTAACTTTTCACATTTTTCTCCACAGGTCAAAGCCTTCCTGGCTGATCCATCTGCTTTTGCTGCTGTCGCAGCACCTGCAGCAGCCGCTGAGACCTCTGCAGCTCCAGCTGCTGCTAAGGAGGAGGCCAAGGAGGAGTCTGAGGAATCAGATGACGACATGGGCTTCGGTCTGTTCGACTAATAAGATACAGCGAGCAGAACCATATTTGAGTCAAATGACACCTTGATTCAATAAAAACATCCTAAAATCCAGTTCTTGTCAGTTCTCTTTTGTTTGTATAAATGACTGCATTCCCCTCAGGAGGTCCTGTAGATCTGGAGACCATGAAAAGCACTGGGTATTACACTATATGTGCATATAATTTAAAGAATCTAAAATGTGTGTATTAAAAGACCTTAAAATTGGTCTGTACTGGAGATAAAGCTATGGAATGTCAGATGTTTTTTCAGGAAGTTTTGTCAAACCAAGGCATTGGAAACTTCCTGTTTGGGTGTGTCCTTTTTCAAAATAAATTGTGTAATGTTGGCATTTGGAAAGTTTAATGACAAGTCATTGTGAAAGTGCAATGCATGAAGGACTTCTTACATGACAATGCATAATTTCAAGGCAAAACTTTAAAATCCATATGCAGTGAGGTTATATATTGATATATTATGATCATTCCATAAAAAATCAAACCAATTTAGAAAAAAGTGCACCTACCCCCTCGTTAATTTTTTTTTCTCTCATGTTCAATAACTTTAAAATTTTACCATCGTACTTAAAATATTTTCAGTTAGCATATTTGAGCCTACATAATTTCATAGTTACACGAGAGACATGCATTTTTCAGGGATGAAACACGTATTTGAGGTCTGTAAAAACACTGCAACTGAATCAATTTAATATCCACTCCAGGTGTTACTATTTACAACCAAAATCTCGTTTTTGTATGGCACAAAATTGTTTTGTAGCCAACTTTAAGCATCAGTATCATGGGATATATCAAATTTTTAGCAGCAAAACTGCACCAGTGTACCAGAAACAAGCGTGTTTATTGTCAGTTTTCTGATTTAAAAAAGTTTCAGGTAAACTTCCAATGGACATATCCTCATGTGGGAAGGGTGGTTGGTCACAATTTATAGCACATGAAAGTACTTTTTTTTAAACCTACATTTTGATACCAGGGTCATCTTTCAGCAATGAGTCCTTCTGTGTCAAAAACAATTTTGTAATATAGGCATATTTTGTCATTTGCAAAATGTTGAGATTCCATTCACTCAAGGAATTAAAACCATGATAATGCTGAGTGAATAAGCATTATGCAGTGTATGTCGACATGTACAATGTGTACAAAGTGGGTTTGCCAGTTAAACTTCTACCTTATGATGCTGGTGTTAAGATAAAATGTCACACAGCTTCTTTAAATATACTCAAGTTATTGTATAATAAAGGGGCGGTCAATTGGTATGTGTTTGTCATCGGATGACCCATAGCATGTGAAAGAGCACTTATTTTGGCTGATAATGCACTAAATCATTAAAGCGCATGTGTATCAGTTTGAAAGTCTCACCTTAATTTGAAATATTTCTCAATTAAATGTACTGCCAATAAAAACCAGTTGTCTACTTGGGTTTGTTGCACTGACTAGTTTTTCTGATTGGCTTTTCCATAAAGCAGTGTAATTGCTTAAATTATTTAGTTTCATTTAAAAAAAAAAAAAAAGATAAATCTCCTCCCTGTGTATTGAAAATCTCAAAGATATCAAACCAACAACAACAACAGCAACAAATTGTATTGAACTATTTAATTTCACCAACTCGAGTACAAAACGGCTTTTATTGTGAAAGCCGTGGGCCTGGTGCAGCAGCGGCAGATGCGCAGCAGCTTCAGGGGAGACGTTCGCTATGGCTGAGGTAAGTTGTTAAGTTTAATTCGCTTTTTAAATATTGACATGTATGTAGATGTGGAAATGATTTCACATGTTTATGCTTTCTTCTTGTTTTCGGTGATTAAAAAAACGGGTAACATTGCCATACTTTACAACGGCGGTGATGGCTCAGCAAACGTAAGCTAGCGTGTTATTAGCTAACGTTAGCTCTTTACAGGAGTGTCATAATATTTTACTAAATTCCCACGGAGTCAACATTACATAGGTGTCAAATGTCATCAGATTAGGTTAGTACGAGAAAGAGGTTGTGGTAACTATTAGCTTTATAGTAATCTTAGTATGAATATGTTGTGTTCGGCTAACGTTGTAATATTAGCGTGTTCGTTTCCCTCAGAGTTGAAATGTTAGCTAGCTTTATAATACATGCTGCTGTTCCAATCATTTAGACGGATACTTCTTATATGAAGCAGTCGCTTATACTTTGATTTCTTGTCCAGACCCACAGCTTACAGGACCTCCAGCAGCCAGCTGTCTCCTCCAAGGTGTTTATCCAGAGAGACTACAGCTCAGGAACCATATGCAGGTTCCAGACCAAGTTCCCCTCTGAACTGGAGTCGAGGGTATGTACAGTGATTACATGGATATTTTAATTGGTTTCTCAGTATTCAGAGATAATGGATGTGAACTGTTGGTGTGGTTTCAGCTCGATAAGCAGCAGTTTGAGGAGACGATCCAGACTCTGAACAACCTGTATGCAGAGGCAGAGAAACTCGGGGGCAAGTCGTATTTGGAGGGCTGCCTGGCTTGTCTAACAGCTTACACCATCTTCCTCTGTATGGAGACACACTATGAAAAGGTAACATTGCTTCACTGTTATGCTGTGGATTGTGTCAGTTGTCATTTTTCCTATAGCTGAACATTTAATCAATTTTAAATCGAAGTCGCCACAGCTTTAAACTGTTGTGTCAGTGGTCTTACCAAATGATGCCACCCTCCTTCTGTAACAGTCACGTTTTAGATGATAGCTCATGGGTTAATAATCCACCACATGTTTACATTTAATACATTATAAATACTCAACTGAAACATGACTTTAAAAGACTTTCTATCCCAAAGCAATTTGCAATATCAGTCAGAAAAATCGCCATTAGATATTTTCCACAAATCAGTCAAACTCAACTTTCACCTCTTCTTTGTGGGCTGACCTTCACATCAGCGGTAACTTACACTTGTATTCTGCTCTTTGTCATTCTGTGTACAGGTGCTAAAGAAGATTGCCAGATACATTAAAGATCAGAATGAGAAGATATATGCTCCCAGGGGCTTGCTGCTGACCGACCCCATAGAGAGAGGCCTCAGAGTTGTATCCTTAACCTGGCACATGTCAGATAACCAGTATGATTACTGGTGCCCAAAGAGTGTGCCTGTGTTGTTTCCCTACCTAGCAGCACTTTGCTATTTACACAAGGTGAAATAATAACACTTAACATTCTTTTTTCACAGCATTCTGTATATTCCTTAACTTGTTCTCTTCCAGGTTGAAGTCACCATCTTTGAAGACAGAAGTATTGGCTCTGGAAGATAAAACAAACTTGGGGTATGTTGTCTTTCTTTTCTTTTTCTTTTCATTTCTTTTTTCTTTTTCAACAATTTCCCTGAGGTTTGCACCAAAGGGATCAATAAAGTTCTATTCTGTTCTGTTCTTCTTTTTATCTGAATTGTTAATAAACCTCCAGCTTTACTTTGAAAAGATTTGGAGCTGCTACCTTTCCTGTAACTAGTAATTCAGTCATTTCATAAGGACTGCAAACACTTGTCTGGACTTACAATAAATGAAAGCAACATTAAAACTTAATTTGTTTTTGAATTTGTTAGTTTTCTAACACACTTTAACTCTTTCTCCTTCCTCACTGTGCAGGCTGATGACTCTCACCAGATATTCTTCATCTATCTGACAGCACATATTCAAACTTCTGTTCCACCTGAATTCTGTATATAATTTTATTCGGATCCTTTTACTCTGTTATTTATAAGTACTCAACTGTCTGCCTATCCTTATGCATTTGTAAATGTGTTTTCATGTCTTTTTATACACAAGGCAATGAATAAATCAGGACCTAGTTGATCAAGACCAGTCTTTATGATTGGTGCCATTGTGTCAAATGCCACTTTTTGACCACGATAATTGAGTGATTTGATGTGTGTACCGTATTGCAAATGATGTAAAGTCAAATAATGTGTAGCCGCCAAGAATTTGGATTGAAACTGGGTGGATCGAAGATGTTGGCACAGTGTGTAAACCGTATGGGTAGTTCTCAACAGTGTTACCATGATGGTTGTGGCCTTTGTTGAGGCAAACGTTTTCTTCTCTGTGCATGAATGTGACCTTTTTTTTGGGGGGGAATCATATTTTGTTGGAAATTTTTGTGACTTCTAAGATGAAGCATGTTTACCGTTTAAAAAGTGCATCACAAAACAACAACATGACTTCGCACATTTCAAGAAATGTCTCTCTCTCTTCTGTAACACGACAAGTGCACTAAATCTCCCAAATCATGTTTAGCAGTCCTGCTACATGTTTATCCAAAAGTTTACTATCCATGTTGCAAATGCCATCCCTGTTCTTCCTCATCGCCAAACATCACAGAAACTGTAAACCCTCCACAGATGATTGTTGTAGGTGGTGTTTGATACAACTGGTCTTCTTTTCTTACAATTACTGTTATGTTTTATCTAAATAAATAGTCGTTTCCTGAAATCTGTTGCTCTCCTGTAGTGTTTGACCTTATTTCTAACAGTACAAAAGGCTTTGAAGAGATTGAAAAGTTTATTCATTCATTTATTCAGCCTCAGAATACACTGAGGCATGGAGGCCTCATTTACAATGTCGCCGAGTAAGAAGATATCAGATAGACTAATAAAAATCAAGATTTAAAGGCAATTTAATCAGCTGTAATGAGAACAGGTGGAAGTAAAATAAGATGAAATTAAGAACCTGAATTGCCCGAGGAATCAAACTGAGTCAGGCTTCAGATTGTTCAGCAGGTTTTCCTAGTTTGCAGGTGTACAGTGAGTAAAACTGGATTTTCCAGACTCAGTAAAAGACGGTGATACTGCAATGTAGTTAAAGTTATTTAAGCATATATGATAAGGGCTTACATTAAAAGACAGCCATGAAAGAATGTAAGGGGCTAAAAATCATATAGACAAATAAGAACCAGGTTTTTACCACGCCTTACAAAGAAGTGTTGGATACTATAAATCCTTCATTAAGAACTGGAGAATGGCATATGTGCAAATTGAGCAACTAGAACTGAGTGACCATGCAAGACAGAGACTAGAGAGGGAGGCCACCGAGACACCTACGACTCACCTAAAGGAGTCATGAGCTTCAGCAGCTGAGATAGGAGAGACTGTGCATACAACAACTGTTTCCTGGCTTCTTCACCTGTCAAAGTTTTATGGGAGAGTGGTAAAGAGAAAGCCACTGTTGGAAAATGAGCTCATTATAAAAAATCTGGAGTTTGAGTTCTGAAATCAGCTGGAAGAAAGTTCTTTGGTTGGATGAGACCAAAATGAAGGTTTTGGCCATCTGCTTAGAGGCAGCACATCATCACAAACACACCATCCTCGCCGTGACGCATGGTGGCGGCAGCATCATGATGCAGAGGTGCTTCTCGACAGCAAGTCCCGGAAGGCATGTAAGGGTAGAGGGAACAGATAAATCCTGAAAGACAGCCTGATGTAGTCTGCAATGTTACTTTGTCTTACAACATAACAATGACCCAAAGAATACAACCAAAGCTACAGAGAACTGATTCAAAAACAACAAAGTGAATGTTCTGGCGTGTCTGAGATGGAGCACAGACCTCAGTCTAATTGTGAAGCTGTGGCTGGACTTAAAGAGGGTTGTTCACTAACGATCCTTGTGCAACCTGACAGCTTGAGCAGTTTTGCTGAGGAGAGTGAGGTAAAGCTGATTTGTCCAGATGTGCTGATTTAGATGTATTCCACACAGACTCAGTGCTGTAATTGCAGCCAAAGGTGCAGCTACTGATTTGAAGGGGCTGAATACTTATGCAATCAATTATTTTATGTTTTAGATTTTTTTTAATGAATTGACATTGCATTTCACTTTAACCTCTTAAGACCCGAGCTCTTGTTTGATATGCAATTTTAATTTTAATAAATAACAACAAATAGAAAGAAAATAAAATATATTTTAAAAATGTATATAAAAATACTGTTGTTATTATTATTGTTAATAATAATAATAATAATAATAATAATAATAATAATAATAATAATAATAATAATAATGAAATGATAAAAATAAAAAAAAGAAAAGAAAACAAATAAAAAATGTATTAATGTATTAATATAACTCAAAATGTGATGTCCACGCATGTGGACGCCAGAGGTTAAAATGAAAAAGTATTTTGTACATTTTTGTCAATCAACCCAAAATAAATTGGGGTCAGTTTTTATAGGCTCTGTATTAGTCCACATGCCTACTAAAAGGTTTGTTTATGTAAATTCTTATAAAACAAACAACAACAAAACTAGCAAAGGCTTTTTTTGTACTGTCAAAATGTCACATAAAAATAACCCAGTTTTAGGGTGGATGGACTTAGATAAAATCTAAACATGGTGTTTAACAATCTGGTTTAGCTGAAGTTGGAACTGACTTTAATTCTGAAGGAGTCACACCGGATGTCAACGGTAGAAAAGAAAAACAAGAACAACAAAAACATCTGTTTCCGGAGGCTAACTCCTGCTAGCTAGCTGCTGAAGCGCTGCTGGCTGTGACTTCACCTGCTCTCACCTGCGACACTTCGGCCGCAGCATCTGAAGCTCCAACACAATGGTGAGAGCTCCGGGCTATTGCTAGCTTCAGCTAGCATCTGCTAAACTGACAGGTGACGGCCACATGTGTGTGTTCATCAGGCTAAGTAAGCTGTGTTATGACTTTAATTCCTGTTTAAAGACTGTAAAAACTATAGCTTTCAACTCTTTATGAACCAGCTAACGTGGTGGTACTTTCTTTAACCTCTCTACCCGTGGCTACTAGCTTACATTGCTAGTTAACGTGAATGTGCCGTTGGCTTGTGGCTGACTGGTTTTGACGTTACAGCTCGTTGGGTGAGTTAAAAAGTTTACTTCACGTTACTGTCCACAGGAGCCACTGTTCTCTGTCCACACTGGCGCCAACATGTATCCTCCGAAGGAAGAGTGTAAATTCGTGCATTGTGTCAAGGTTGAGCTGTGGGCATACCAAGAGAAGAGCAACCGAAAGAGGTAACAGAAAGTTATTGTCCGTTGACTTAACAGCATGTGAATGAGAACCCTGGTCGCTTTTAGGTACAGTTTGCAGAGTTTAGTGTAGTCTGGGTTGTGACAAAACATTAGCTGAAGTTTAGTTTGTTGCTTTCAGCTGTTTGTAGGAGTCTTTACACTAAGTTTATTAAATACCTGCAGCATCATCCATATGAGCTCTGCAGAGAGAGAGAGGCTTGCAAGCATTTACACACTTGGTACAACAACTGTAGTTTCATTAATTACTAATAAATTATCCCTGACATGGACACAGGGTCAGTTATGATCTAATGTGAACTTCTCTACACCTCAGTTAGGTGAGCTGTCACACAGAGTCACCGCTGATCAGTTGAAGTTGAATTATTTGTTGCACATCAAACGTCCTCAGGTTGAGCTTCATCACGACTTCATTTGTTGTATGTGTATGTGTATGCATGGAGGGTGGGAGGGACGGGTTCATTTTATTTTATTTTTTAAATGTTGTAATGTTTTCAAATGTTGTAATAGTTTTTAAATGCTTTGTTGTTTTTAAATGTTGTAAAGCACTTTGTGTTGTTGTTGCACATGAAAAGCGCTATACAAATAAAATTTGATTGATTGATTGAACGGTCAAGACATTTTTATGGACAGAATTGTCCTTGTTAAGCATTTTATAAATATACTAGGGTGTTAGTTATTTGGACAGTTTGATAAGCCTGCGATTAGTTTTAGTGATGCACGATATTAAAACTTCTGATATCACCAATAACCAATATTACCGATGTCGATATTAAATTTTTGTTCACACTGAGAAATGAGTGTAAGCACTGTGAGAATGTGAAAACTATTCAAAAGAAGCCCATACCAAATTAGACCGCGTAGTCTTCTTTATTATGTAACACAAGTAAAACATATTTAATGCTCAAGTCCGGGAACATTTTAGTAAAAACATTTGTGAAATAGCAGCAGTATCAAATGTAGAGGCAAAGGGACGAATGTTCGACAATCATCAGTTTTTCACATTGGCTAAATTTCTTCATCGCACCAATATATAATATATCGGAAAAAACAGTACTGTTGGCCGATACCGATGTGGTTGCAGATGCATCCCTAATTAGATTAGACGTAGTATTTTGTTTACTGTTCCAATATTATATGATATAGCTGCATCATGTTATGTACTGTCTAATCTCACAGGCATCAAATGTTGACCTGTTTCTGTCACTGAAGTTGGTATATGTGAAAAAAGCTGGGGAACAACAACGTAAAAGTGATGTATGTCCGATCAACAGAATGTTCTCACTTTAACAGACGAATGAAGCCAGCAGCGTTGCGTATCCCATTTCTGAAAGGGGCTTAAGAAAGTGCACACTTGAAGTAACTAGCAGTGTACCACCTAATCAAGTGACTATTTTCTAAGGTACAGGTATTTAATTGTCCGATTTTACTGATAAGAACACCCGTTTCCATTTGACATCTTCCTAATTCGTGCAATCATAGATAGAAAATAGGTTAGATAGTGTTACCTTTAAACCAAAAGTACAAGAAGTGGAGATAAAAATGGGGTTCTTCTGTTGAAATAAGTGGATTTACTACTTGATGACAGAAAAACTATCGTATGATTGAGTTGTGTCAGTGTGTGACTTTCTGTTTTACAGGTACACTTTACTGTTGTAACCTGATCAGGGAGATAAATTGTAATACATATTTCACTAATTATTCTGTAATTTATGAAGACGTACACTGGTCCTCAGTGATTGCTTTTGAAGCCTTTTACATGTCCATTTTTGTGACTGGGTATGTTTATTGTGTCTCTTCCCACTATTTTCTGCTGTGGCAAAAAAGATCATGATCTCATTGTGACTGCCCTATCTTATGTACCTTGACATTTAAGTCTCAGTGTTTATATTATGTAAAAAAAAATAATGTTGTGTTCATATAGCCAACAGAAGATAACTGCTCATTGTCTCGCTCTGTTGTTCCCTTCTGTGTCCCTGTCCAGTGTGCTTCTGTTTCCGCCTCTACCCAGCAGACTGCGATTCCTGGTTCACAAAACCACGGAGGACCTGCCAGACCTCACCACCTTCTCAGTAGGGGAGAGCTGGTGCCGTAGGGTGGTGGTCTGTCATTCTGAGCTCAGGTACTGAACAAATAGTTAGTTGTTTCTGTATTTTAGAAGCTGACTTTAGTCGATAAGGTGTAATGGCACAATTGGTACAGTCAGTGTCGCCGTGCTACAGAGTTTTGAGTAGTATTCCAAAATTTGAGCGCATGATGTATAATAACTGAGGCCTAAAGTTGAAGTGAAAGGAGGAAAAAAAAAAGGGGGTAACAAAGTTAATGATGGCAGAATAGTAGATTTTTGATATACCCATTACACTACACACATGACATATTGATTTAATTGTTTAAAAAGAAAAACATCTTTACATTTCATTTTTGTAGAGACATTTTAAATTTTTGTGTGTTTTTCTGTAGGGGTGAGATAGAGGACGACAGCGACTTGGAGAGCAACAGCAGCTTGTGTGAAGAGAATGTAAGCAGCAGTGGGGAGACAGTCGGTCGTGTCAAACCTCCACCTTCCATCCCATCACGAAGCCGAGGACCGAAGAGACCGGACAAGCCCCTCTACATGCCACGAGCTGCTCGGGAGAGACTGTCTTTGCAAAACTCACAGGGACCCACAGCTTGTCATAGCGGTAGCCCTATTAGCACTTCATCGGACTGTTGTTCCTGTCCTGAAACTACAGAAAGTAAAAAGTGTGAATCCCGTTCTGGACAGGGATCGTTCTCCCATGTAGCAGACGGTGTTCTTGACACTTCCACAGACAGTTCAGCACTGTGTCCTCAGGGAGAGAAACAAAACTTGGAGCTAAGCGAGCATGACGGTGAGGCCGTTGTCTGGGACCAGATTCAGTCCTGCTTCGCTAACATGATCGTGAAGGACGAGGGAGACCCTGATGTTGTGGCAAACAGTGCCCCGACAGAAGACCTAAGCGCAGACACAGAGGATGTTATTGAAGAGGTAAGTCAACACTCATTTCATCTTTGATTCCTTTCTTGATGAACCTGCACATTGCCTAATCCTTTTCACGTAATGGCAATATTTTTAATGAATATATTGTGTGTTTTTTCAGATCAAAGCACATCTGAAAGAGGCAGTTGCTTTTTCCATTGAGCATGCCCACAACGACTACTCTGGTTTTGAGATTGTGCAGTTTAACTCGGATGACTTTCGCCATGTGATTGAGATTTATGACTTCCCAGCTGTGTTGAAGACAGACGACCTTCTTGATGCTTTTGTAGAATACAGGTGTGAACAGAGTTCAGATTCTAACCGTCTTTACGGTTGTTCGTTTCCATTGATTCTCTGTGCACATGTATTGCCAAAACATCTCCTTTTACAAAGTCAGTAATGCTCCTCTTTGACACTGTCGTATAGGTGGTAATTCAGTAATACTCTACGTAATACACATTACTCACACATTATTTAGTTCAATAAAGTACTACCTTTGATTATAATCCCAATAGCAAACATAACTGAATATTTCCAACAATGCAACAAAAAAACAACATTGTAAACCTTGTCAATGTTGTATTGAACTGCATGAGATTGTGTAGCTGTACAATATAAAGTAACTACTAAGTGCGTTTTACTGAGGTTTAATCTGAGTTTAGGTTCATTTAGTTTTTCAATTTTCTAATATGTGCTTCAGATCAATTTTTATGTGGCCTCCAATTTCATAAAGTACTTCCATGTCTGTCTCAGCGAGGGTGGAATGAAGATCCAGTGGGTGGACAACACACATGCACTTGGTGTTTTCTCCAGTGAGTTGGCAGGTGAGAGCCTTTCCTGTACAATAAATGCAGTGCTGGGTTTTTAGGGTACAAGCTGGCAGTGACTAATGTAAATCAAATGCTTATTGTGTCCTATACAGCGCTCCATGCCCTCTCCATCTGCCACCCACTGCTGAGGACACGACCACTGGCTAAAGGGAGTAAAAAATCCCAAGGCAAGGCCATCAGATTAGCAGGTAGGAAATTCACTTAAGTGAGCCCTATGGCTACTGGAAAAAGAATTGAGGACATATTTAAGCCCTAGTACTATGATTTTACTCATCTTTTTGTCTTGTCATCTTGGAACTGCTTTCAGTGCTGATGATGTGGATCAAATGGTTGTTTTTGTGCCTTCTTCCAGAGTTTATCCAGCCGGTGAAGGAACGTCCAAGGACGGACTGTGCTGTTGCCAGGCGGATGGTTACCAGAGCCTTGGGCTTACAGGGACGTGGCAGAGTGCAGCAATATTAAAGGGAATTGCCAGCGCTGCTAGCATATACTGCAGGTGAGCCAAGTAACAACAACAAATATAGGTGTAAGGTATTTTAGGTTTTTCTAGAAAACACCGTGGACTTGGTTAAGGAGTTACTGGAAATTCATTCAATTTCTGTGACCTGAAAGTCAGCCTGTGTCACCGTTGCTTCAATTTCCTTGTTGCGCACAGAAAAAAATGGTTGTGGAGTACCTGTTGCATGTTGTTGTCTTGCTAACCAAAAGCTCAGATTGTTATTACTTTGTATAAAAATAATACTTTATATGTTTTTGTCCATTTATCGCGGTACGCTAATTTTAATGGAACAGTTTCTCTTTGCTCCCTGTGTCACTCCTCCCGCCCACCAGAGGTCCTCAGTGTCTCTCTCTCTCTCTCTGTTTCCTGCTCACCTGACTGTGTTCTTGCTCCCAACCAAGCTTTTATGCTCACCTGCCTCTTGTTTAGTTCAAAGTTAACCCCATACACTTCCCTGTTTCCCTTTTATTCTTTGCCAGATTGTCTGTGGCTCTGTTCACATCTGGCATTGACACGTGTCTTGGGTTATCAAACCACAAGTGGACAGCTCAGAGTACACTTGTGAATACACCCAAGACTGTTCAGACAGAGATACAGACATCGTGAGATTTTGATGTGGTCTGGGCCACATATGGTCACATTCTTTTTGCATGCAAATGTTCTTAAATTGCTTAAACTAGCTTTGCCCACATCATCTCAAAAATTTTCAACATCCATAGAGCTACATCACTGTATTTGGTTTTACTCTACCCTCTTGGTATTGTGGTGATTTCTTCTTGTTGTTTTATTTTCTGGTCATTGCCGTCCCATGTGGTCTTCGCAAATGGATATGATGTACATGTTTATTTGCATATTCAGCAGAGAAGTGAGATCTGATCACAAGTGGTAACTGGAGGAGATGCATTTTAATGCCAGGTGTGAAGTGCTGTACTTAGAGGAGTGTGTGACCAGGGCCTTCTGTCCAGTAGTTTCTCAGCTCTGCCTTGCTTTGTTGTTTTGACATTTGCCTGTACCTTGGACTTCCTCAGCCTGCTCTCTGTATTTTGTTTGCCTGCCTTTTTTGTTATCTTGGAGCAGCTTTCTGTAAGTAAAGCGTGCTCTTTGTTTTTTCAGACTGCCTCCTGTGTCCTGCATTTGGATTCTTTGAATATTCACAGCGTACTAAAAGGTTTTGGCTGCATGCAAGTCAGGGATTTAAAAAGATCTCCAAATTATTAGAAATAAATCATTCCACTGTAAGGGAATAAAGTCACCTCAAAATGGTGTAGATTTTTAATCACAGACAGTTTGTCGAGGACTGGCTGCCCCAGTCAGCGCACAGTCAATTTGACGCAAAAAGAAGTCTTGAGGAGCCCACAAATTTCTTCACAGGATCTGCAGGTAACTCTGCAACTCCTGGTGTCAAAGTGTCTATAATCAGAATTAGATTTCACAAATTTGACCTGCATGGCAGGTGAGCCAAGAAAAAGGCCGTTGTTGTCCTCAATGATAAGCAAAGCAAAACTACATTTTGCTAATGAACATATCAGCAAAGAGCAGGTCTTTTTATTGTGTGCTCTGGACAGACAAAGCAAAGGCAGAGTCATTTGGTCCGTGCGAAACAGGACTTATTTTACTGTGGCCAAAGACTTTTTGCTTCTTAGCAGAAGAATCTCATACGAACTGTAAAGTATGGTGGAAATGTTATGGTTTGCGGTTGTTTTGCTACCTCAGGGACGGGGCAGCTTACAGGCCTTGATTCAACTACGAACTCTCCTTTATAAAGGGTGTTTGAAGACAATGTGAAGACATCCGTCTGAAAATTGAAGCTGAACCAGAAGTGTGCCTTTTATTAGGATAATGATGCATATCCTGGGTTACTTTAACAGTAGCTCAATACACATAAAGAAACATAAACATTTGTCTGCTTTCACCATTTTTTATTTAAAAAATGTAATGCTTTTCCACATTCATTCATGCATACGAAATAAGAACAGACAGCAACTAACAAGTACCCTTGTAAAATGAAGGATCCTTGAATTGCTACATTAAAAAAAAAAACTAATTTACAAAACCATGAAGAGGCATTTTCACATACATGTGTGGCTGTTACAGTACTTCCACAATGGTATCATAGTCCCTGACGATAATAATTTAATGAAACTCAGACGCTGAGAAAGAAGCTGAAGGGATGTGCAGATCATGAGGATGAAAATGTGTCGACTGCTGCAACCAAGAAAAAAATCAATAAGTACAATGTTTATAACAAAATAGCTCAAGTATGTGGAACACAAATTCATGGGAGAAAAAAGCTCTTTCCCATGCAGTTTAATTCTGACTTAAATTTATGACTGAAAATCTTCACAGATTGTCAGAAACACTGCAGGAACCAAATCCAAGCAACTGCTGGCATCGGTCACATTTGGCACTTGGGGGCTCCAACAGAAAATACAATAAATCCTATTTTCAGTTGCTTGTGATGCAGATGTGGTTACACGTTTTCCTAACTTCTAGACACTTAAATACAGACCCTCTGAGAACAGGGAGTTATTTGTTTTGTCAGTTGTGTTCTTGCCATAGTTTGTGGCATGTTGCTCTGCAGTGATTATCATAATCATGTACTGTATTTGTTTTCACTTTTGAGTAAATGACTTTAACTATCAATGCTGTGGGAGCAAATGTGATTTGTTCGCCTGTCTTTCAATTCAGCCGTTTGCAGAAACACATACAGTGCAAAATTCTGACTCGTTGTAGCACCAGATTTAGCAGAACACTACATTCATCCATTCAAAGCAAGCTTGACATAAAGAGTCATCTGATGACTTTTCGTTGGAGGCAGTCCTCGAACATTTGAAACTTTGGCTTCGTAGGCAACTGTTTGAACAGTTTAATAAGTTATTAAGCTCAATTCATATGGCATTTCTCTCAAAAAGCAGCACCATGACAAACTGACATTGTATTGACAGGAAAGGCAAGACAGTAGAAGATAGAAACATTTTTGTACAGCTGAATGTGGTTAATGGATTTAGCAAGCAAGCAGTTCATTTTTCCATTGAGTCGTAATCTATCATACCAGCTGAGCCCAGAGCTCAGCAACAATCCCGCCGCGGTTCGAGGAAGCAAAACCGTACAGCCTCCTCTAGTGGTTGTCCAATATCAGTATACGCTTCCCCAATGCTGACCAGCTGTGCTGTCCATCGCAGGTCTACCTGTGTGAAAGCTGGTTGGTCAGCAATCCTGGAAATATTTCCTCTATGTCTGAACTCGTTGTGCCACCTGTGAGACAGAGAGGAGACAATGGGGGGATCAGCAAACCTCTGTAGTTTCTTACGCATCAAATGCTCTGGTTAGAGAACTCTATTCATTGCTTGATTTTTTTTTTTTTGAACTGATAACATCTGAACAAACGTGCCACTGATGTGTTGTGGTGACAAAGTGATGTCACAGCTAGAAAAAAAAAAAACATTTGATTGGCAGTTTATTGAATCAAAATCAGGAGAACATTTGTCTGAAGTTGACTAACGTTTGGAAACTATTTATTTTGTCTTCTGGTTTTCCACAGAAAGGTCCAGCAGAGGTCGGCCTGTGTTCACCAGCCCTCTGTAAAGATGCCACAGTGGCCATAAACAGCTGACTGATCATTCCTCATTGATAAATACAGCAGGTTGACACAGTAAAGGAAGCTGCCCTACGTCATCAACATCCACCCTGCTGAAGTGTCTTTGAGCAAGACACAGCAGTTGACCTCAGAGCTGCTGTCCTGTAGCTGAACCTGCTCCCTTTGGCCATTACTGTTGTGATTCCTGTTGCTCACTGTTAAAGAAACAATAAGGTATGAAACAGATGACTCTAAAGGCACTGGAAGTAATGAAAGAATGTTTTAGCTGGTTTAAATTTTATTGCATGTTCACTTGACACTACAGTTTGTTTCAGGGTTGTTTGATTTACTGGCAGGGTGTTTTTTGTTTCCACCTTGCCCAGGTGCTGCACGTTCAGTTGCATAATTACACAGTGTTTTATGGTTTCTAACTTCAGGTGGCCATATTATACCTAATGCTGTTTCACTTCAATTTTACTGTTTTTAAACATATTCACATGTCGGGTTTGAGCCACCAAGAGTGCACAGACAGGTGCTACATTTAAAGTTACAGACACAGCCTGTTCAGAACAGGACTAAAAGCAGGGGTATTATAGGAATGGTAGAATTCATGATCTGTGCAGCATTTTGAGTTTAATATAATACGCATTCTTCAGATATGTGGCACTTAACATAACGTGTTTAAAAGGAATGTAACATGGGACCTTTATTGACAAATTCTGCCACAGGTTCATTCTCAGGATCATAACAGTAATGAAGATGTATTAGCAGGAACAGATTTATGTAGAAACAACACAAAATATCATTTTATTGTTACTGAACACTGATATTTTCTAATGTTTTGTTAATTTTGAAACAAATTGCAAGATGTTAAATGGTTCCTAGTATTTTATTTTAGAACTACTTTGGGCAAAGTGTTTTTCACTCAACATTACAGAAAACGGTTTTGAATAGCGGAAGTTTGAACTCTGGAAACTGGCAATGTTAGGTCAGAAAGAAAGAACTATAAATGTTTGGAAAAAGATGTTGAATATTTCAGTTTTGTTGTACTAAAATAGCTTTTTCGTGAAATGATCTTTAGTGCCTGATAAGAGAGAGAGAGAGACTGGAATTGTTCTTTGGAATCTCTGTACATTATCTTTGTTGAGCCACAGTAGAAATAATAAGCTGCATCTATTGAGTAGTTCAGTGATTTAAAGGTAAAGTAAACCAATCTGTGCTGTCAAAAAGTCTTAGTGTAAAAACGGACTCAACTGTAATATGATGCTATTTACATTTACACCACATGGATAGTGCAAAAAAGTATTTTTTATTTTTTATAAATACTCACCTGTTTTAGAGGATTGAAATGTAAATAAGCTCAGAATATTTAATGTATGGATACAGAACCTGTCACACAAGTTCCAAGATGTGTTAATTCAAGTGTTGCATAGACTACATTTTAATGTAGACTTTTCTTTAAATAAAAGCAAATACAGTACAGCCTATTGCTCCACTGAACTTTTTGCGATTGTAGTAAGTGTTGTCTCATCATAAGGTAATGGTCTCACCTATATGACAGTTGTATGTCCATATCCGATGTCCGTCGTACCGGGAGCGACACCTCATAATGTTGTTGACGTAATCTGATTCTGCAACCTCATAGTTTGGGTTTATCACAATCTGGCAGAGGAAAAACACTGTTTGTTAGAAGTGTTTAAGTATTTCCCCTTGGCACATTTATACACTGTTAATAAATTATTTGAATAAAGTAATAAGGTACTATTAAAAATACAGCTGTAGTAACTGGCAATAGCTTCAAGGGCTAGTAGCCTCTCAAAAACAAAAAGTTTAATTACTGCAGTTAATGCAGAAAAGATGGGGTCAGAGTTCATTTTACAACCTGGAGGCTGTAAATTCACTTTATTGTCATGAGAAAGTTCAGTGTCCTTCAACAACCCCAGGTCACTTGTTCTAAGTCTGAATAGGAGTATACTGAGGCTTAAGGCCAAACATGAGCAGACGCAGAGATGTGGAAACTGTTGCTGTCTGTTTGGTCTGTAAGAAACACGCTGGCTGGAGATGAGACGGATCTTTCCAGCAGCACATGTTCCATATCGACTACAGCTAGACTAACAGACCAGATGTTTTACCTGGAAGATGTAGTCACCGGGCTTCACGTCAGTGATGTCAATCCACTGACAGTCGATGTCGTGCCTGTAGGTGTCCCAGCAGCCAACTGAGATGCCCTGTGAGCCGAAGTTTGCACACTCGTACCTCTTCTGAATACCTGAATTCAGAGCACATTTTAGAGTTTGTATTAAACCACTCAGGTGTAGCACTGATCTTTATTACATCAATTGGACAACAAGCAGTAGATTGTAATTAACTTGGTCATAGAATGGTTTCACAGATTTTAATATAGCTATAATGTAGGTTCTTCATATGTAAGCGTTAGAATGTGCTCCAAAGCCACCACGTGTAATAAAAAAGGAAGGCAAGAGTCTATAGTTACCTTCATCACAATGTGTGTCCTCCAGACAGAAGCTGGCTTTGTGTCCCTCTGCAACTTTAGTGCCGTTTAGACTCAGCAAGTCATAATGGGTGAAAACTTCCATACTGTGGTAATGCCTGGATGATACAAGGACATAAAACTGTTGAAGCATCATACATACGTATATTTAGGAACTCTGCAATAACACACATGCTCTTATTCATCGCCCACTTGTCTGGTGGTTTTCCTTTGAGTCAGATAATTCTGCCTCTCTCGTAACATTAAGAGCAAGTGTACTGGGGGGAAAACTGGATTCCAGTAGGATGAAGGTATTCCCAGGAATGCTAGCTGTTTGCATTTAGCTTTAACAGTGTTATTCATCCCTGTGTATTCATAATCAGGTTTCACACAGTGGCTAGCTATGATAAGACTAGTAACTAAATACTGTAATGTAATGTCTCACCTGTGACATTCATGCCAGACCCAGGAGTGATGTGCTGCCCGCGGTCTGAAGTCTGTCTGGCCATTGTTGTGGATCTGGGAGGAGAAGCGGAGAAGGCGGCGGTAGGAAGTAGAGTCTGCTTTGTCAGCGCTGCTGGACAGACAGTGCTCCTCCTGGGCGCACTGCAGCGCGTACATGGGCCTGTCCTCCAGGTAGGTGGTCTGCTCCACGACCTGAGAACTGAGGACCAGGTCTGGGGCCGCTGGGAGGGAGAGAAACAAGGGATGTGGTGATTAAGAACAGAAATTAAAACTGATATCACACCAGTTTTGATAAAATGCTTAAAAGGAAATATTCCTTAGTAACACAGTTTTGTAAACTTTGCATCCAACAAAAACAACAAAAGTCACATTTTTTTCTTGTTCATGGAACTTTTTAGGAGAAGACATTTCAATTTGTCATACACAAGTGTTACTAATAACATTAACAGTGGCGCTGTTCTTCTCTAGTGCCACAGAAAATCACAAGATTCATTTGCACAATAACAAAACACTGAAACTGAAGCAGCTCATCAGAATTCAACAATCATTCATATTATTATTTACACCTCTGCATTTGTCACACATGAAAATATCTTTTACAGAAAGGTTTATGTGTTTTTAGCCCATAAAATCAACTATGCAACGCTTTTCTTCTGCTGTTTCTTACTTTGAGTACAAGAGACTCCAGCAGCAAAGCGTCCACCTCCTTTGGGACAGAGAACGTGTTTTCCATGATGCAGACACTGATCCAGAGTCAGCTCAGTTCCCGAACATCTCACCCCACTCATCACCACAGCATCAGCTGATGCATCTCCTTGCCAGTACCACGTTTCCTGAAAAAAGAGAAGCATAGAAAACTGAAATTACACAGTTGAACAATCAGGAGTTAGATACAAAGAGGGTGATACCGCTCTTATAAAAAGCTGAAACTAGCAGCTGCTTTTCTTGGCATCAAGACAAGAAATGAAAGAAAAATACAGTCTGGCTGGTTCAGCTCTGACAAAATCCTCCTACCTATTGAAACATTTGCATAATGCAGTTGAAAACTAAAGTAAGATCTAGCTCTCTAGCCTCTCACTTAGTCGTATGCTACCACTACACACTAGATTTATTAGTTTTGGACAGACCCAGGCTGTTTGTATCTGTCTCCAGTCTTTGTGCTAAGCTTTGGTGACTGTGTGCTGGCTCCAGCTTCACATTTAGCATGGAGACATGTGAGTAGCATCAATCATTTAGTTTTATTTTAAGCAAGGCGTACAAGGGTGTATTCCGAAATAAACAAATCTTTTTCCTCTCCATTGACCTCAAGTCACGTTTTAACTTTGTTACAGAGGCCTACACCCAAGTGAGCTGCAACCAAATAGATGAAGCTGATGTTCGTGAAAAGGAAGATTTGTGTGGGAACAATGTTTTGAACAGTACCATTATCTTAACTTTCCTCCTGTAATTAATTTGCAGACATGTCCTGCCGGTTATCCCACAAGGCAAATTTAATCAAAGACTCTATCACACACGAAGACAGAGGTTTGCTCTGTTGTCCTCACAGTCCTGACTCAGCCTTATTACAACATTTCGCAGACCGCAGGGAAGCCTTTTGCGAAGGAAACTCATACTTTCCATCATCTTCCAAGGAAGTGGAGGATTCATGAGAAAGAAATCGAGCTGAGGGATATGGATGTGGGAGTGCTTGCTGAGGAGGAGGGCAGACATAAAGCGTTATAGTTTAAGCTCAGTGTCATTTGTTCCATCTGGTGGTGGGGGTTTGCCTGGAGAAGTATTTAACGAAAGTCAGACAGGAAAGAGTTTCTGGAGGGGCTGAGGTCCTGCTCTGTGATAACAAAGACCAGACATTTATCACTCCCAACATGACAACTCTTATGCAACGACAGCTTACTGCATGTAGTGACAAAGCAACATGTTGTTACGATAAGTTCACGTCATTGTTTGACTTGGGACAGAAAGGCACGTTTCAGTCAGATAAATCCACCAGAACCAGTCCGAGCTCCAGCCATGGCCCCCCCTGCTGTTATCAACACCCCTCTCCATGATTCACACACACATACTTTCCAGACCTATATCATCTTAAACTACCCAAACACCTTAAAATAGAAAAAAAACATAAAGAAGACAAGGGGGGTCTTAAACTTAACAAGCCTCTCACCTCATGATATAAAGGGAGGTCTGCGGTTTTCTTTAAAAAAAACCAAGAGGGGAACGTAAGCAGGACAGGACTGTGACGCTGCTAAGTCATGCCAAGGGGTTTACTGGTGGAACGTCCGCTAAACTTCAAACGCAAAATCAAAGCGTTCTCATCACTCCCGCTGAGGAACCCAACACTTATTTGGGTTGCAGGTTTATCACTACTGACCTGCGTACTGTGCTGACTGTGTTGTTTTTTGATGTTTCCAAGCAAGTGACATCTTTATTTTGCCTCCTGGGATCAATAAAGCTCATGCTAGTTAAAGTGAGAGTTATTGGCATCCTCCGCCACGCACACACCTAGACACACAAACCGTGCCGCGAGGCTGATTTAATCTTGTCTATATTTCACGTGGCTGTAATTTTCAGATCATTTCCTGCTCCTCCTATCTTAAGACAATCTGAATATCGTACTTTCTAAGCTACTAATAAAACTTTGTCAAAGTGGCATTATAATGGGAGGGGAAAAAAAGGAAAGCTGAAAAGCAGAGGCCTGGCCTGAGCTGCAGACTGACCTCTTTATACTTTTTGGAAATTGGCTACTTCTACTGTATGTGTGTGTATTTTTCTTTAAAAATTTCATGAGTTTAACTCTGTGGTCAATCTGTCATAGCTTCATACCAGCGTCAACACTGTACAAAAAGAATCCCTGCAGTGTTGAAGCACATTATAGTACACTGAAAATAGAAACGAGTGTAGTTCTGCCATTTTCTAACAACAATAAACAAGAACAATTGTGGAAAAAGTGAGTCACGCTCACTATGCGTTTAAAAAATGCAAATACAAACTAAGCTCTATTTTCTGCAGGAGCCTGTGTATTCTACAAATATAGTCTAGTCTGGAAGTCTAGTGTGGTTTAGTGCCTTGAAGAAGGTTTCATAATGTTCCTTGCAAACGTTACAACACATAGTATGTACAAATTAAGATGCAAAATATATGTGTGTGACCCCCATTTACAGTGATTTACAAAGTATTTACCCCCCCTGGAAGTTTTCCTCTTTTATTGCTATTCAACATTGAATCACAGTCAGTTTATTCTGACTTTTTTTGACAAGAATTTGCAAAAAAAAACTTTTTCAATGCTGTAAGTACTGACCTAAAAGAGAAGGGGGGTGAGTACTTGCAAACATTTTATATTTTGAAAAATTGACATTTAAAAAAAAGGGGAAAAAATCTGGTTTCACTTTGGCATAAAAGAGTCTTTTTTGGGACAAATTCTTGTCAAAAAAAAGCCCAGTTAAGTTGTCCACAAATTCAATGTTGTAAAGCATTAAAAGGGGAAGCAACTTCCAAGCTGGCTGAAAGCTTTTTATAGGCACTGAAGTACTTTAAATAAAATGGGATGTCTGCATAAATAGTGTTTTGTCAGAGCACAGCCAAAATGTTTTCTCTATGCTGACAGTCTGTGCAGTAAAGATAGGCTCATCTTAAAAATGATTTGATGTATATGGGCTTAACCTTCGTTCCAGGGGCCTTACCTGGAAAGCTTGGCTGGCAAAGCCCAGTCCCAGCTGTCTGCACACCACCATGGCCTCCATGGTGCCCCAGCTGTCACTGCACACCGTCCCCCACACCAGAGAGCCGTTCCTCTCTGCCAGGACCTCCACACGACCCTCATACGGGTTACGGCCGCCGTTTAACCGGAGCTGAGGACAGATAGGTATACAGATGTCTCCTCCACTGTTATGCAAATACATTTTGTTTTTGTCCTCTGTTGCAGAAGGAGTTACTCACTCTTTTGTTGAAGCCCATGGCAGGAACATTACACCTGACTGCTGCGTCTTCCTCGTGGCTGCAGCCCAGAGCGTCACGGTTGAAGTGGCAATCAGTCAGAGACTTCTCAAAGCCAGAACACTGCACCTCATTCATGTGGACCGGCCCGATTCCTACAGGTACACATCAGGCACATAAGAAATGATCTATGATGCAGCTGGAGCATTAAAGTCAGGAACATTGCAGGAAATAATCTTTGAAGGACTGTTGTGTCTTTCCAGTACTGGAAAGAGGAAAGTTGATCCTTGGTTTTCACAATGATTTCAGAGAACACAAGGTTGATCTGCCCACTACAACAGACTGTAGCAGCAGCCCGCCTTCGTGGTTTGTTCCAACAATAAGTCCGTCCAAAGACAAATTACGTGCCCTAAAATTACACTGCAAAGGAAACAAGCAGTCAGCTATGTCAGATGAAAATGAGACACTTAGGGCCCGTAAAGACATAAAAAATTCTCCCTCATTGTGGCGGAGTTTCCACAATAACATGTGCGGGTGCGAACTCCATGCTGGTTTTTTCCCATGTGACTGAGCGGCAGGAATGTCTCCAGTGATGGACAGAGAGCCAGTGGAGGAACATAAATTCACAGCTGGAGGAACGCAATAACTGTTAATATCCAGTTCTGACAGATGGCCACAAATTTAATTAGAATGAATAAATCAAATCTCAAACTTATCTAATAAGACAGAAAATTGCCATGGGCCAAGAGAAAATGTAATATCAGTTTGCATCCTTTTATCAGCTGACAAAGTGAACAAGACAAAAAGTACACTCATAAATGTGTCAGTCTCTGTTACCTTAGCCAATAAGAGGTCACATTACTAGTTTTCCATACAAATAAGGAAATCCCCTACTTTACTAACAACTCTGACATTTTTGTTGTGTCCCCTTCATTGACTTCTGAAAACAAGCACAATCAACTATTTCAAGTCTGTTTGCAGCGCCATTTCTGGATCCAGTGGTCAGCCCATAAAGAAATCTCTCACATAACCTTGTTCACTCGCCAACAAAGAATTCCTCCTCTGAAAGCCATAAAGGCTGTTTTCCTCGCTGGAACATTTTGTGCGCTTTTCTGTTTTGCTGTGAGAATAAGGCAGAGGACAGAAACAACTGTTCCAATGAACATATGATTCTTATAAGGCTGTGGAGTATTGCATTTCACAGAATCAGGAGTTGGGTCAGTGTATAAACATTAATGTGCCCCTCCATACATTCTCTAATCCCTTTATGTGCTGACTTCAGGTCTAGACTGATTGAAGTGAGACAAAAACAGGTGGTAACACAAAGGGCAAAGATAAGGTGGAGTCCACACCTTTCATTTTCACAGCTGGGAATGAGCTGAACTCGAAGCTGGGTTTTGTTGAGTGATTGTACTTTAAATGTGAATTGTCATCAAAGCTAAAAACCTACGAACAAATAAAGGTGGCGTCAGCGATTCTCATCCAGTACACTTTTTGGTCAGATTCAGTGAATATCTCCTCACGCTTCATTCGCTGTTCACTCTGTATGGGAACGACTTAGATGGCAAGTTAACGATCTAAATATCTGCTAATTGGCCAAATATCAACAATATTTCTCCAGAATCTTCACCTTTAAGTTTTACACAGTCTCAAAATGTGCAGACAATCTGTGCCAGTCTACCCATAATAGTAAGAGCTGTGATTGGTTTAGAATTCTAAAGAAAAAAATCTGACACGACCTGAATATAAAAATTTGGGGTATAGATTCATTCAATTTGAACATTACAGAATTGTGACCAAAGTATATACTGGACTCTATAATGAAGAAATTGTTTCCTCAAACATGTATTTGATATTTCTGTATTGCATTGTTGGCCATGCTAGTTCATCAGACGAAAATATATTTTGTTCTCATATCTAAAGAGAAGTAAATCAATTCCTCCCCCCATTTAAGTACTTAAAATTTTTTTTTTTTTTTAGTTTTTTTAATATGTAAATTAGGCGTGTTTAAGTCAAAACCAGGTAATAAGTTGCTATTTTATAGTGATTGTTGTATAAACTGGTACATTAAAAAAACTTTTAAAAAAAAGATGTGTGCTACAAAGTTCTGTTTAAATGTTGACTTTCAATACTCTCTCATCCTAAAAAATATTAGAATTTTTGTTTTTAAAAATTGTTATTTTATTCCAACAAACTGCAGATTTCATGTAAGCGTGCCGCCTCGTACAGAAATGTTTTGATGCAAAGTGACAAATCTGTATGTACCTTGTCCCATTCGAGCGCCAGTCAGGGCTTCTTTAGCGCTGCCGAACCCCAGCTCTCGACACACCACGGTGGCAGCTTGGATGTTCCAGTTGTCGTCACACACTGTTCCCCACTCGCCATTCTTCAGCACCTCCACTCGCCCCTCGCCGATCATAGCGCCACCCTTCAGACGTACCAAGGGTTGCTATGGAAACAATGCACCAAAAACAAAAAAATTAGTGGAAGTTTTAGAGAGATGGTTGTTAAATGCAAGAGGATTAGAAAAAGTTCAAAAGCTAAAAAACAAAAACGATTTTGAAGATGGATTTAATATGGTCAACTTTCTGAATTTGGACACTGAAAATGTGCGTGACCAACAAGGGCGTTTTCTTCAATAACTTCAGTAGCCGAGGGTGCAACATTCTTCGTCTGCACGAGATATAATTTTAGCTCATTTAAAAAGACTGAAAATGCACTGCTCTCAACATAATGGTAGTAGCACTTCCCATGGGAATAAAAAAGTTTAAAATCATCTAGATTCATCGTTTTTCTGGTCTTTGAATTGCCCCTCGGGGAAAAATAAAGTTATTTGAATTGAATTGAATAACGAAAACTAATAAACACCATAAAAGCAACCCTGACAATTTTACTGTATACGTGACAAATGTTTAGTGTTCCTCCATTCAGATGTTTTCTTGACGCTTGATTACAGGGCAACTGGATTAATAAGCAAGAAGCGTTGTAATCCTCGACTGGAAACATGTCAAGATCATGATTATAGGACAGTATGTTTTGTGCATACTGAACTCTGTCCTTCCATAAACACATCTGTGCTTCTTGTTATGCTGATGTAACAGTATACTGTATTTGCAAAGCAAACAGATTTTGGGTCGTGCATTCATGTCTTTTTTAAAGATGAATGATAAATTTATAGTGTTTGAGTTTAAAGACAAACATCTGCATTGTGCCCAGTTTTGATCACAGGCACAAATATCAACCATGTGGCAGCATGATCTGACGTGCCGAAGTGTCAGGGAGCGTGTTGATGTTTTTCAGTTTACAGTCGTCCTCCCACAAGAGAAGAGTCAGTCCTCCAGGAGGGATCACTCTCATATTAGAGACACTTGAATTTTCCATGGATCTGATTCTGATTAGTCAAACTAAAGCACCACAATCTGCTGCCTGAAGTCACACAAGCTTGTCATTTGTATTTGTACATACAGTAATATGGTATTTATTGCCATTGAAACAGTTTTTATGCTTCTGTCTGATTATGTCAACATGCACCATGATAGTAAGTAGATAAAAGTTCTGTCCATCCACATTCCCACCAAGACAGATTTCTGCATATTCTTCATATGTTGTTAATGTGCGTGTATGTAATCTGACCAACCTCCACCCTGTAGGCTTTCCTGAAACCCATGCTGACGCTCGGAGCAAAGGCCCGTCCTGGCACACAGCTGATCACCACAGGCATACCCTGCTCACAGGTGCTGTTGCCCTTCAGCTCAATCTCACGGCCCACTTTACAATCAGAGAGATCAGCCTCATTGCCTGTGCAGTTGACAGAGAAACCCCAGTAGTTCTTCTTACGTCGCTTGGCCAGCAGTCTGAGAAGGAAGAACACAAAAACACAAACTTTATTGTATACTTCATCTAATAATTTACACAAGCTGCCAGCCACATTGTAGAGCATGTCATTGTTTTTCAGGCTCACAAAGGACATGTCTCAGGTATGCGTTGGTATCAGTTCACGCCAAAAGCTGCAGACCTGAAACTCGCTTTAGAAAGGTGATCCATTATAGTCAATATTTAGTCAGTCTTTTTGTCATGTTATGTCATCACTGCATGGCAATGCAGTTACGTCGAATGTTTTGAGAAGTGCTAGGGTTTCACACCAAACACAAGCATCAGTCAGTGAAAGAGCTGTCAAAACAGTTACTTAACAAAGGCAATGAATGAAGGTGAAGGGCGTCCTTTATCAAATATGTTTCTGAAAATAAAAAATCATCGATACAAGAACGGCAGGAATTAAAAGACCTTCAAAAACAAAATGATTTAATAATTAGTTTGGTGTACTCTAATGGCCGCCCTACTGAGTTATTTCATGTAGAAGAGCACATAAAATATTTTACCATTCTTTCTCACGCTTTTGCAAAAATATTTAGCAGCTGTTTTATGGGATGTGAGAATTTGTGTTTTTCTAGTGTGAGGAATTCACCAATATTCATCCTATGCAGGGAAACACAATGGGAGTATTGTAGGGAGAATACCTTAACATTCCCATGACCCCACACTTGAATGGAAGCCATCAACTAAGGGTCACTGAGGGGACCCAACTACAGCGGACCTTGAAGCAGGTCCGAGCCTTGGAAGAAGCAGACCATGTAATGAAACCAGCAGGAGCTACATTTACAGCCCTTTAGTCCTCGCAGCTTATTCACGTGCTGTAAACATGTTGCTCATGTCGGTTAGAACAAATTGTGATCCGTGAAATTTGAAGCGATGCCACATTTAGATTGGGAGTTTCTCATTTCGTTGGAAATCTGCTCTTTGCTGCTTCATATTAAAAACAGACTGAATGTGATCTTTAACCTCTGTAAAACAGTGGACCATGTGAGACCACAGCAGCATCACAAGCTTTAAAACCGCACCAGCTTTGTGATCTTCAGTGATAAACAAAGTTAAGGCCTTGTTTGATGTGTCCTATATTTCTTTTAGTTAAAATGCATCCATATGTAAGATTGGTATCAAATCAGATGACATCATGTCGACCAAAGCTTGAAATATAGAAAAGATTTTGATCAAAGTTCACTTTATCTTACCAGAAGCCAGAAACATTGATGTGCAGATGTAGAACTGGTCACATTACACATCCCGCTGATTAATGGTACTTGTAAATAAATCTATTCTAATTCCACTGATTTGTACGATGGTTCTGGGAGGCTTTTGCAGTGGCCAAGTTAATTTTGACCTTCAGTTCCCATGTTAGTAGATAAAAATGATAAAGTAGAAGTTTTTTTTTAAAGAAACAGCTGTGCTTCAGTGTGTTCGACAACATATTGTCTTTGACACTTAAGAAAAGCAGCATGTTAAAACTCCTGCTCAGAGGGAAGCAATTAGACACAGCCCAAAGAGCCACTGTTTCACGTTCTCCGTATTGCACTTCCCAGCAGGGCCCATCCTTGATCTGCTAAAACGTCCTCTGGCAGTGTTTGGCTTCTTGTCAAGAATCTACAGACCAAAGACTGTTTAATCTCAGTGTGGAAACTGGATGAAGGCGTAAGTGATGACCAGAGTAAACAAGCTTGGTTATGTAACGTTCTCTAACATCAGTTTGGTACGAACCAAACATTTCTAAATAGACTGAGATCAAAAAACTGTTTTTAAAAAAGCTTGAAGTGCCTCCCGAAATGCAATATTTTTAACATAAAAGTGTTTGTATTTTATAACAATGTGTGGTATATCTCCTGTTTTTTTTGTGTATATTTTTTTATAGAGGTGTGAATTGAAATGATACAACATATGCATCTACTTGTGTGTTTCGGGGTGTCTTAGGTTTTCATGGAACCTTTACTCACTTGTAGGGGCGGGTGTTGAAGCGTTTCTCCACAGGGAATCCATACATGCCACAGATGACCCTGCTGTTCATCTCCGTCCACTCCTCGTTGCAGATCTGTCTCCACTTGCCTCCGTCTTTCACTTCCAGAAAGCCCTCTGTGATGGGAATCCGTTTCCTGTGAGAGTACGTGGCCCTGATCCTCACATCCTCCACCTGCACCGTCAAACCCTGACAGACAGAACAGAGGAAATACTTTGTTGTTGTTTTCCAGGTAACCTGTTTGAACTCTGAAAGTAGCACATGTTCATCCATCAGGAGTTATCTGTACTCACCATAAATCACAGTATATGAGCTTTACTAGAAAGTTGCTCCGATTTTTTTAGACTTACTAACCAGATGTAGGCATCAATCGAAAACTGACCTAAGATTTGCCCACAGCTACATAATAATGATCAAAGTTTGCATGTCATTTTTGCACAGTAGGCTTCAATGTCCCCCTCCATGATGAAGACTAAACTATATCTACAACTATCAAATCCACTTTTTCCACATATTTAGACATTGTGTTTGCTGTTAAATATTCCTTCAGACTCAGCTGTCGTCACTTGAGCAATACAATCTATTGCTCTCATATGAGGTATTTTCATCTGAATCTCACTCCTGTGAATAACAATGTAAAACCTATAGAGCTGTACTCTACACATTCAACTTACTTGGATCCAGCTGAAGTTTGCGTAACATGTGCTGACACGGTGCTATTGCTTTACAAACAGTTACATAATTAGTGAAGCGAACATAATATTGCATGAACTGTCAAGCGTCAAAAGGGCAAGAAGATTTTTCTGCTTTTCTTTGTATACGTTGAGCTCATATGTTCTATTGCACTTGATATATTCTAAATACACAACAGCCTATGAGTCATAAAAGAAGATTGTGCCGTGTGGGAAGGCAAAACAGTTCAGAAAGAAGGAAAAAAATCCCACTGTGGCCTTTTATGGACAGTTTGCACATGTGCTTGAAAATACAACAAGTCAAGTTGAGAAATCTGCAGATGAAATTTTGTTTAAACTTGCTAAGTACTGCAGAGAGGCCTTAGCAGGTTGGATGAATGTCTGGAATTTTTCCATCATCTTCAATGGGTTCAGAGTTTAAAGTTGTGCTTTAAGGGCCTATAAGAAGTTTGTGAGCAACATACACCCTCGCAGAGTTCTCAATCAGCTAGCAGCGTTTTGCTTTGCTTTAGAGAAAGCACTGAAAGGGAATGTTTTATGCATGATAAGTGTGGGTGTTCAGATAAGGTATCAGTGTCAGTATTCTCACTGCTGCAACAGTAAGCAAAGAAGCTTAAACTAACCAGTAGATAGTACAAAGAGAAACACGAGTCTTTTCCCTTTGGGGAAGTGTGGAATCTAGGTCAAATGTCTGTTTAAAGAATTCACCTCGAGCGTCTTGGATTTCACGGATTATCTGAAAATGGTAAGCGGTGATAGAAGAAATTCAAAATAAAATATAATCCAGGAAACTCTGTAAATTGAGACTTTAAACAGATGCTAAAGACAGAAGATGCACTGAACTGATGACACGTTTCAGGTTGGAAAAGTGTCTATGGGTGGTCCATAGTTTATTATAAAGAGCTAATGGGTAGCTGGTCAGACTTAAGGTCACTGACTCTCACAATTAGCATCATGTGTCTTTGCAAGCCCTAAATCAGGAAGGAATGGTAACCTCTGACCTGAGGGCTTTATGAGAAAGCAGCTACCTAATAGCTCCGTGCCATTGTTCATTTCCCTCCATGCGCCAAATGCTGCAGTTTGTTCCTGACTGGGTGTGAGGCGGCACTGTGGCTGCCAAGAAGAGCCCAAACTCTGGGCTGCTGTGTGGAATGCAAGTGCTGATCTCAGTAATTTCGTAACAGCCAGTTTCTTTTACGCCGAAAAAAACTCCACATTCAGGCATGTCTCCCAGAATATCAAATGTTTGCCCACAAGGTGGTTTCCTGAGATGGCGTCAGCCTGAGGGAATGTTTGAGGTTCAGGGTCTCTCAACATTCAGGACCAAAGCGCAGGAGGAGTCTCCACTAAGACAGTTTCCACTGTGACCCCAGTCCTCCCACTGACTGCAGCAGTTAGAGTGGGTAAAAAACACTCTTTCATGGAGAGATTCCCGCTGACCATAGCATGACAGAGTGTTTTCCGTCTGTGCCTGGCAGGATGGGAAGGTGAGGAAACGTGATCGTGAGCACGGAGCTGGTGTTCTCAATTTAAAACCTATCTTTAGTGTTTTGGTTTTCTTTGCTGCCATGTAATAGCTAGATGGGAATGATGAAGAAATAACCCAGTATAATTTAAAAAACATGAAGCCAATTAAAAACATGTGACAGCAAGAAAAAGAAGATGGAGAACATGAAATTTAAAACAACTGCCAAAGTGAAGGTTAAAGAACTAGACAGGTAGGAGGTGGGTGTGAAAGGGGCACTGAGATGGTCTGACCAGTGTTGCGTTTGGCTCAGAGGGGAGGAAACTGGCTGTCTGAGTGTGTGAGACAGAAGAAAACAGATATGCACAGCTGGAAGCAGTCCGGGCATCCCCCAACCCCCCCAAAACCACCAGACATAAAGTCAGCATAATCCTGTTTGGCTGAAGCCCAAATCTACACACTGGTCACTTTTGAACATTTTTTGTAGTGAAATGCAGGACAAATCCAACTGCAGTGTGAAGAACAACGATGAACAGGTTCATACCTAAAAAGCTGCAAGAAATCCATAAGTAAAGTTGCTGGAGTGCGTGGAAGGAATAGTTTGACATATTTCATTTTATTGGCAAGAGTTGGATGAACCCCAAAACCCACTGCCGGGATTGAAAGGCATGTTATCTCCAAAATTGCACCGTTTATCAGAACCAGAAACTGGAGAACCAGGAAGAATCAGCAGCAGTTTCAACTTTTCAACAGTTCTTGAACTACTTATCAGTGATATGCCATTCTATCTGGAAAATAGTCGAAATCAAGGTTACAATTGTGATATGTCAGTAAAATTGCATAATTTGACTAATTTCATTAAAAATGCCAGAAATATATTGCTCACACGAACCAGATTCTGTGAAAAACTTAGATTTTTTGCGTTCAACAACACAACTGTGACGCCATCAGTGAGTCAGCTGCGACCAAACATCACTAGAAAAATATTCAGGGACTTTTCGGCTTGAAAACCAACTGCGTTTACACAGAGCAGATAGAGTATGGTGACAAATGATATCTGTAAAGTATCTATAGTATGTAGAGGTCTCACTTTTCCCCCCAGGTTTGGTAATACCTGGGGAATGAATGCTGTACATGTTGGTTTCAGGTTTTTTCAGTTTTGGGGTAATAAACAAGGAAATTCAACTTGACTTCTAGCCGTCATTGTTTTGCTTCTACAGACATGCAGAACCTTCTATTGCAGTGAAAAATCACCTCACAGTGAGTCAAAATGTGACAGCAGCAAAAACCACTCAGACACTGCTTGGGTTTCAGAGGCTTTATAGGCTTTAGAGGTGCTGGTAGCTGGATTGTGTCACCTTTGAACAAAGCTGTAGCTGTTTCTGCATTTTTCCAGTCGATGTGCTAAAATCAGCTAACAAGCAGCGGGCAGTGGCTTCACGTTTACTACACAGAGATAAGTGTCTGTATTGTATATGAGTCTCAACCTTTCAAACGTATTCCTTGAAATGTGGTCAGTGTGACTGTTGACCGCTTTGGCAAACAGGTTATCCTAAATATGTAGGGAACACGAATCCATTTGTAATGAGACTTCCATCCTACGGGTCATACTGAGGTTAATTCCCAACTGGACATTTCTACAAGGTGACCTCATCTTACTGTAACTCCATGACTGTACTGTAGTGAGTTGGTCATTCAGTTGCTTTTTTTTTTTTCCTCCAAAAATTTATAAAGTCACATATTCATGTTTGCAAGCAGTTACTGAGGAAAAAAAAAAAGAAAGAAAACATTCTTTATTCAGATCTGCTCAATGGTAGCCTCTGAAGTGAGCTCTGAGCATTACTGAAGTGTTTCCAACTGGAGAGCAGACTTGTTTTTCTGACTGGGTCCCCCTCAGAATGTAGATGTGTGAACATGAGACTGTGGTCTCGCCAGTGTCTGACTAATGCTTCCACTACTGTGCATTTCTTCCACTTTATTCAGACTTCCAGCTCTGCTGCACGTTCGTCTGCACGTGCCCCCACACACACCCACCCGTTCACCTACCCCCAGCTTACGATACACAGCAAGTATGAGCGCTAATCTCGCCGCAGTTTAGATGAAAAGCAAAAGAACATTGAGGCTCTTTGAAATGACTTTCACATCTGCCCCACCCCACGTTCTGCCTCACGGGCCTCCAGTCTGTGTGTGTGTGTTTGTGTGTGTGTGTGTGTGTGTGTGTGTGTGTGCTTTGCATCTGGAATATCTGTTAGAGTATATTGCTCCCACTGTGGCAGTGAAAAGAAAAAGAAACACACGCACAGCTCGTCTCAAAGTGAACTTACATGACTGCAGCACAACCATCTGCGTCCGATATACAGGATTTAAAAAAAATAAAATAAAAACATTTCACTTATGATTAGTGTACAGCTCCATTTCCACTCATAAGTCTTCATGCTCAATAGTCAAATTGCTGCTTATTAAATTGAATTGCATGTTTTGAGTAATATGACTATTTACTTTCTTCGACAGAGTCAGATGAGAAGATCAATGTGTGTCCTTTAAATTTTCAGCTACAGCCGGCAGCTGGATAGCTTATTTTAGAATAAAGACTCAAAAGTTCACTGTTTTACACACTGATTGTTTAAACCATACAAAAAGAAACAATAGCAAAAACAATCATTTGTGGTCTACATGCTGGAATAATAGGTTTCCAAATGCAGGTAGGAGTTTTGTCGGCACATGTTTGCCAGACCACTAGCCCAGTGATTCAGTTTTAATTCAATACAATTTTATTTATACAGCGCCAATACATCACACGCGTCATCTCAAAGTAGACGTAGATTTGATAGCTTAACCCTCTGAACCTCAAAACCTGCTGGGGTGACTGAAAGGTATGTTGTCAAACAGAAAGAATGGTCACATTTTCAACTATCCGACAGTTCTTGAACTATTTATCTATGACGTGCCAAGATGTTGGGTGCCGTAATCAGACATAGGCTTCAAATCGTAATATTTAATCAGAACCACTTTTGTCTAAAAGGTTGTCAAAAATGAATCATGTACACTAACCAGATTCTGTAACTTCTGGTCTCCTGAGTGTAACCATGAAACCATTGGTGACTCAGCTGCGACCAACAGTGACATAACAAAAGCTCAGGGACTGTTCAGCTGCACTGCAGGCTGGGTACGCAAAGAGCAGATAAGAGACAAGCATGGAAACAAATAGTAAAATGTCTTTAGCACGAACAGTCACCATCTTTCTAATTTTGGTAACACCTGTTTTAAACTTTAGTTTTTCCCCTAGTTAAGATTTATGCCACTGGGACTTTGTTACTGCACAAAAAACATACTTCAGTTCTCTCTATTTCCAGCTATGGTTGTACTGTTTCCACTGAGGTGCAGGACTTTATATTGCAAAGAAAAATGAGCCCAAAGTGAGTAAAACTGTGACAGGAGCAAAGAGATGCTCAGAAACCGCTCAGGTTCAAAGAGTTAAATTATGTAATATCCATACTTTACCCTTATTACATATGTGCAGCTCACATACCATAAATCAGCTTTAATGCATCAGCACAATGTGCAGTTGTTACATCACAAAGAATGCAGGAGTAATAAAAGTCAGAAGTTGGGCACCGTGCAGCCCAAAGGAGAGCTGAGGACATGTTGAACATGTGGTGAATCTGACTTCTTCTCTGTCTGCAGGAGAAAAACTGGCTTCAGCCTCCTGATAGGCATCAACCTTTTCTCCCCTCGACCACTCTCCTCCTCATAAGCCTCTTGCATACATCACGCTGAAGACAGCTCCAGCTTTAGACTCGGGTTTCCTTTTGTTGTTCAGCAGAGAACGTGAGCAGCTGAAATCCTTGTAAGCAGACGCCGTCACACCTGACGGAGAAATGCAACCTTTGCCCTGTTTGGATGTGTAAAGATTCAAAAAGCTTTTAACTGCCTTGTTCTCTTATTTCGACTGGATTTTTACGTCCATGTTGCTGACTCTTGCTCAAAGTGTTTGGCTGAAGTAAACATGGTAAATGGTTTGGTGATTGACTGCAGCTGCTGTTGCTGATCATTTCTTTCCCATCCCTTCAGGAAGAAAACTTCATCTCCCTTCCGAAAGATGAACTGAACGAGACTCGTCATCTGTTTATGATCCCGTGTGGGGTTCTGCAAGCAGCAGGGTGAAATTCATTTATCTGAAAATTGCTTGTTTACTTCACCTGCGTTGGTTTGTGAACAATAAAAAGAGGTACAAATAAAAGCTCACGTGAGAAATAGTGTGAGTTTTTCTCTTTGGCAGGGGACAACAACGGCAAAGATTACATAAGTCCACAGCAGTGCCAAATTCTTGGAAACACAGAGGACGTGCTTTCTTGATTGACTCCCATCGAACTCTACCATGAGCCTATAATTATCCTCAGATGACACTATCCTTAAATGCACTGTGCGATTCCCACATGAACAACTGAACATGGTGGTTGAATCATCTGTTCTGACGCAGAATAAACAAAATTTCCTGGCATCGTAGCACTTGGTTCTGCTTACAAATGCGACCCTCCCCGTCTCCCCCTACCGACTGTATCCCCTCTCGTCCCTCCTAATCTCCCGCCTCTGTGAGAAACAAACGCATGATAATAATAATAAGGCCGAGTTTGACGGACAAAATCAAAACTGCGCATCATGCCAAACTAAACAGACTCGGGGGGACTGTTGTTTGAATGGTGGAGGAGATTTAGATGCTGCATGTTAAAATAACTCAAATTATTCATGACAATGATTCGCTTGCACAGGAATGTATGTTCTGTTGTGGTTTTAGGAACGTTGCACAACCAGCTGAGAAAAGGTTGGACTGGCAAGACTCATGGCTTTTGTCTCCAGAGGTCAGATCAGTAGCAAACTGCTTAAACGACCGACTTTACTGAAAAGAAGCAGCGGTTGGGAAGGTCAGAGGTTAAATGACGTTCTGACAGCAGCTTGGACTGGATGAATTTTCAACAAAATGACTTCAACTCATAAATGCCCCTTATATTAATCCTGTTTAGAGGACTCCATGTCTTTGACCGACTCTGCAAAAATTCTAGTCGAGCAGCTCGTGCCAGTGGAAGCTGCTGTTTTCATTTATAATGGGCTGATATTTTCTGTAGACTATTATTTGTGGTCAAAGATGAACTTGCCAGAGTGAGCTCATATATCCCCATACACTGTAAAGCGGTCTTGAGATCTAACCTTCGCCGAACCAAAATCAGAGCTGCTCGAAGCCACTTTGTGACCTGCGGATTTACCCTGACACACACCACTTAAAACTGATAAATGCTCACCAGAAGAAGTTGCTGGTAATGCAAGTTACAGCATGTGACTCTGAATTAATCTGATACTCAGCCAGCATTTTCCTGAAAGTGTCAGAAGGAGACCCAAAGTGCTGAGAAACACTTGAGATTTCCAATAAATGCTTGCAATTTCTAAGGATTTAACTGTATTTACTCTGCGATAAAAAAAATATCAGTTGCTTAATCGGTTAAGTGCTGACCTTTAGTTAGACTACAGTGGGGAGTGTTAACTTTCCAAACTGAGCACAAACTGTCAATTCATGCTGTGAATAAACAGGTTGCAGGAACAGTGCTGCCCATTACTGATGTCAGTTCAAGCATAGTTAAAGAGGTGTAGCTACACCTTTTTCCCATTCCTCTCCCTCATGACTTGAAAGGCTTCAGCCAGCCTGAGGAAATATTTAGAGGGTGGGGAAGTGAACTGCAGCAACGCCCCCGAGACCCTAAATACACAGGACAAATAGGGAACAAGGGGCTGCTGCTTACATATCCAACCTATAAAAATAAGAATGTTTTGAGTAGCATTCAGCAGTCCATAATTAAACATTTAATTTTCTCATTTCTTCTGCCCCTCCATTCCCATGACTGATCCAGGCATTGGAAAGATAAACAAGGATTTGAGATGCTCTCCTCAGGCTTGTTATTCTAACTGAATCCACTAAAAAACATATTCACTGTTCTGGCTGCTGTAGAGTCATGTGATGCAGCCAAATCTACCCCACGTCCAGAATGAACAAACAACAAGAATAAAAAAGTAGTAGCAAATGTTGAATTGCAGACTCTCTTCCAAGCTGCCAAACAATTGTTGCTTCATCTCTGTCAGTGTGGTTTTGATTGGAAAACCCTCGATGGCAGAGTCTTTTAATGACGTGTTTGCAGACAAGCCGAAGGAATGCCTCGAGACCTTATCTTCTCCCTCCCTTTCTCCCAAGCCCACACTGACTTTCCATCCGGTACAGAGGCGTTCTCTGCAGCCAGACAGGATGGTATTCCAGCCCTCTGAGTCATCCCAGGTTGCAGAGTGGGGGGTCTGTTATGGCCAGTAATACACTAATAGGAGCCTGGCGAATTCATTAGAGCAAACGGTGGAGCGGACACCTCCACGTTGTGCACCATCGTGACTGAGTTTTTCATTATTTCACTTGAAGCAAACCACAGAAAATGTGACCAGAATAACTGATGTCTCATTTAGTTCACTGATTTACTATCCACTGGAACTTTATTTCAAGTGCTAATTAATTCTGTTTAATCACACAGATTACGTAATACAGGAGCCATCAAATGAGCTTTTCACAAGTTGTTTCCGAGTGATGACACTGCGTTTATAAAATGGAGATTTATGTATTACTAAATTAAACTTGGTTGTGCACATGCTAGTTGTTATAGAATGTTTCACCCACAAGTAAGTAAGTGTCATACACTTGTTAGCCTTTTAAAACGCTAAATTTTGGAAGTTATCTCACAATTTGTTTTAGTGTTTCAGTGGCTTCCTGCTCAAGTTACATCTTTTTTATTACTTGGCAACAGGAATCCCTCCTAGCAGCCACTTCACACACTCTTCGCAGGATAAGATATTTATTGCATTTTAATAGCGCAAGCCAATTTCAGTCTGGAGAGCTGGAAAGATTTGAAGAAAACACTTTACTTTGAGCTATTTGGAGCTTTATGATAAGGATTTTCTTTCATCCTAAGCCTGTCTTTTGTTCATATTTTATTGCGCAGAACATCTGTTCAGGTTACATGTGAGCACTTGAACCATTCGTGGATGCTGCTTGAGAGTTTGTAATTCTGTGATCAAGTGATCCCACACCCTGTTGTTAGGATTTGTACGAGATTATATGCACATACAGTCAACGACCAGCTTATCGGGCACCACCTGTGAAATCTAATACAACAGCTCTGCCATACAAAGCTTCTACGTTCTCAGTTTTTGTTGATGTTTCCAAAAAGGTGATAATTCTGCTTTGTGTTTCTAGTGGGTGGTCGTGGTGGTGTGCTGGAGTGCATTCACTGTTAAACCTCTTTAACAAACATATGGCGAGCAAAATATAATAAATTAAATGTAATGCAGTCCAGTACACCACCACACACTATAAGCTCAATGATACATAAAGTAGAAATACCAACTTTTTGACAGTGCCAATAAAAACTGAAAATCTAGAACCTATGTGAGAGCAGAATTTATGGCAGAGCTGTTGTTTTGGATAATGAAGTCGTATCTGTTAAACCGTTAATGTTCTGCATGTGGTGCAGTTTTTAAATGTGTCCATTGCACCACGTGAACCTACCTCGTCGCTGTTGCCGGAGTTCTTGATGAACTTGAATCCTGGGATGCGTTTCTGGGTGCACACCACCCCGACATCTTCTGAATGTTTGCAGTCAGTCACACCGAAGCCGTTGGACTCACACTGAGCCAGACTCTTCTCTCCGCCGGTGCAGTGCAAATTGTCCAGCCAGATCCGACCTGGAATGAAGGAAGGAAAAGACATGAGGGAAGAAAACAACACAAGTTTTGATGTTGAAGGCGAATGTCTTCTTTTGTTCAATCCAGTTATGATGGATGAGGCTGAGGCAATTAATGGATTAGTTGATGAACAGAAAGTTGATTTGTTTTGAAGCTCATTGATTATTCCAACGTCTAAATTTGTTGCTGAGTTTTGTCTTAAGTTCAACATCTCTGAGGTTTGGACAGTTTGTCAAATCAAATTAGCAATTTGAAAACAACTTCTTGTGTTTAAGGAACAGCAATGGCCATTTCTAACATTTTATTGATCCAAGCATGAATTGATTATCCAACAAAATAACTAGGAAATAAATTAATAATGAAAAGAATCATTATTTGTTGCCCCAGTACATTCTTGTATGTTGACTCTCTACAACCAGTGTGATTCTGTTGATGTTCCCTTCTTTTACTGCAGGACTCTTTCTTCCCACTGAGCTCCATGGGGCCACATGTCTCAATTTCCAGTAACTTTCCTGAATAAGTGATCATTGCTTCATTTTAAAATACAGATGAAAGAATGGTTTAAGCATTACATTTTGACAGCGTGAGCTGTGAGTCACACCGTACTGACATCCATTTCAGCATTTCCACTGAAGTCTAGTCCTCGGGACAGTAGACCTACTCACGTGGAGCTGTGTTTGGTCTCTCAACATAACCTGACGCATTTTTTCAGCCAAAACCCTGCCAATAAATGTTGTCACGGCTGAAGCGGATCATCTGCTGTCCAGCTGGCTGTTCTGAATCAGCCATGAGGGAAACCACACAACTGTGGCCATGGAAACTACGAACGGGCTGCTCATCACTCTGGAAGTCTCAACATGTTCCTGAGGAACATCGTGATCATACCAGGAACGTGACTGCATGTTATACGGTCACGTAGCCTCCTCCTGGCAGAGAGGCGACTGCCGCTGGAACATTTTCTAATATGAGCTGAGTCTTCTGGTGCTGAAACACAGTTTGGCCTCTGTACACCTTTGTCTAAACAAATACTCAGCCTCGCCAGATGTGATAAATCTTGATTGCTGTGTTAAATCTATCATTTGGAAGTCTTGTGGGGATTTAACAAGCCACTGAAAAGAACAGTGAGCCATTCGTTTTCAGTTTTTACATTGAGTTTTTATAGTCAACCACATAGCCAAAAAACTCAAAATTAACACAAAGCGGTAGAGCACAGTGATCCTAAAAAGATCAGAATAAAATGGATTTTGTAGTTGAACAAACTGTAGCCTTAAACTTGCAAACCTTAGCATTTTCTGTTTTTTAACCTGCTGCGGTTGCAAATAATGGCTGTGTAATAGCAGCTGGGGATCTGATTCACAATCCCTGAAGGAAAAACACAGTGTATCCCAGAAGGATGTCCTTATACTTATTATGTTGTTATGTGTTCAATTAAAAACACTCGGTGGTTTCTTTTACCATTACATAATTCGTCATGGTGGGAAATG